TATATATACGCACGCACTCCACAGAGGGACTGTCTGAGACCATTCCTGTCAACGATGTCAATTTCTTTACATTTGTGTGTCAACTATACACAAATGAGCTGTGCTGTAATTTGTCCCCCATATAATTGTAGTCTTTGTACTGTAAGTATATCGCCCTCAAATGATGTTAGCAGTCATGTCAATGTTCAGAGTAACACTATGCAGGACCTCAGTGACCCTGAGGCTGGCCCATCAGAGGATTGATAGCGTAACTCGTGTTTTTGTTTACTTGTTGAAATGTCGACCTAATTTAGGAATGCCTTTTTAGTGACATCTCTGCTGCTCAGGTGTAAACTGGTGCTCACTACTTTAACGCTATCTGTGAGGGTTGAGACATGAAATGAAATGATAGTGATCCAACCAAGGAGAGACAGGCTTGAATTCTTCATACATATTGTTTTAATAGTTCAGGCTAGACTGCAATTTAACAGGCAGAATATCCACTTAAATTTGATTTGCATTAGTGTTTATTGATTGTCGCTGTGCAGTAAACGGAATTTCTTACAATGATTTTTTAATAAGTGAAGGTTAGTTTGTTCTTGGCTGGTGCACGTCGGGCCCTAAGCCCCTGACGACAGTCACTGATGGAATCAATATCTAATAATCAAGAAGCAGAAATGGAGATTATGATGTGACCAGTAGAAGGGCATCGGTCAGCACTTTCCCTCGTGAAGGTTGTCGGTTTGCTGTTGAAACGGTCACTGTGACAGACAACAAAAAAACATTTTATTTTTGACTTTGTTCAGTTTGTACACTAGATCAGCGCCATGTGTTTTTATTTGAGGTTCTTAGTCCCTTTAAAGAATAAGGAATAATCAGCTAAAGCCATACATGATAATGTATAAGATGCTCGTCACTTGTCTGTCCTTTAGGTGATAATCCACAAAGTAACTGACCTGTACTCTAGCTTTTTCTTTTTGAGGTCGACATGGGGAAATATAATATCCTATGGTGCATCTTCTGTTCAGACACAGATGTCCCAAACTTTCTAATATCAAATGCACATTAAACTATGATCCCCTATTTGTGGATTGGCACTGTAACTGTGAGAGTTGGTGAATTATTCCTCTATTTTGTTATGAGACCCTGTCATGGACTCTGGGGGAATGACACACTGTAGGATACTAAAGGGTATTTTATTAAATAAAAAGGTAACATTTTGCACAAAGTGTTTAAAGTATAGCAGAGGCTAGTTGTCGTGGAAGTTGTGCTGAAGCCTCTAATTAAAGCTGTACACTTTTACTGAACTCCAGAGTTCACATCGAAGACATCCGGTTGACTTTATATAGTGCCCTCCATTGAATCATTTGAGTTCTTTCCATTATTAGTATTTAGTTAAGGATAGTGAGATCCATAAAGGTCTTTTGTTGGCATCACTACTACAGCAGCCCATTCACACTGATTCTGTTTGTAGTATTTGTTTTAAGTGTGCTGTTAATTATTATTTTGACAGGTCAGCTGGTCACCTCTGCTTTAGTTCCACCTTGAGGCTAGCAGAGACTGCCCCTGCTGTTACACTCCAGCCCTCCGTCCCAACTGACCCACATTAGTATGTAAATATACTGTATGGTTGAGGATCCCGTGTTCTCTGTCCTGTAAAGACTACAATAAATAGAAAATATCAGATTCTTGTTTGATTTTGAGAACATTGCAGATGAAGCAGCACGTTTCAGAAAATGCCCTGAGATAGTACAAAGACAAAAAGGCCTCAAGTTAAAATGGTAACTCTTTATTTACAATAGTTTACAGTAGTTTCACAGAAACAGTTTGCACCACAGTACAGACGACGCTTTCTCAATAAGGGAATAGGATAACCCAAGATCAGAATACACGCGCTGTATCACGATGAGTAATGCTAACGTTAATGACACTGATGTCTTAAAGACGCAGACTAAAATTACACATTTGTGCCTGAAGATGTCTCCTCAGGTTCTCATCGAGGCGTGAATGTCCTTGAGAAACAGCAAATAATTTTAGGTCTTGAAACATCTTGACGACATCACAACCTGATCTTTAAAGATCTGGCGATTGCTGGGTACGAACTAGTTAACCAACATTTGTAAAAACCCAGAAGACAAGAGAGCAGAGACCAGCTTGACTACTTTGAACTCTTAGAAAGTCCTATGTTCTTTACATAACAAACATCCAGTGTGTGCATTAGTCAATGATTCTGCATTGTAAAATCCTATCCTGGACTAATATAAAAAGGTTCCGAGTCTAAAATCTGTCACTACAGTATGGCTTTTATGTAATCAGAAACAGCAGATGGCACATGAATAACGAAGCTTAAAATCCAATTACAAGTACTAGGAAAAAAGTGCCTTAAAAACAACCCTTTTTCCATTAACCTGCTGCATTTGGAAGTGACTGAATACTGCTGTGAAAGCATTAGTGAGCGGTGATGAGAGGATGAGATATGTTCTTCTGATCTGACCTTTCAGAGACAAACAAACCGACCCGGCCCGTGGTACTTTGTAGATTTCCATTTCTCCATCTTATAGAGGAACAAAGACCATTGAGCTCAGTAGAGCCATAGCAGCACATGCATTGCAAACACCCTCACACAATTCAAACACCCTCACACAATACACACCCACACTTTTAAGAGAATCTTTCTAACAACACTTTTCCAGTTAAGATAGGTTTTTTTTTTTTTTCATCTGTCGATACTTCAACAGGACGGCCAAAGGAGTTCCCTTCTATAAACATACCTGTCTCTGAAAACACTGTCATGAGCATGGAACGGTTAAAAACCAAGGTGACTGGAAAACAAGTATTTATGAATATAGCTGTTCAGTCATAGAATGCAGCAAAAACACTGAACAGAGGAAAAAGACAACGCCTTCACTGAAAACTGGCTTCTTTTATCTGTGAAATAATGTCACTTCTGTTGAAATACGAACACTGTTTAAACTGTTTGAAAAGCAAACTGTGGGAAAGCGTATGTGTGGCCACGTAACATTTTGATTTTAGAGGAGTGGCCTGAGGCAAGAAGACAGTCTGCGAAGTAGACGGGAGAGGGACAAGCGCTCGGTTCAGTTGTACAGGCTTCAAGCCTCAATTATATTCTTTCACAATGTCTTAAATAACAGAACATGTATACATATGAAGCGGATGCAGACTCTAGTCTCTTTTCCTACATCTTTGTTCTATTGGATTATACCTCAGCTTAATACTATAGCACCATCTGAAGCAACTAACACGAGGCTTAACTTGTTAACAGTTAATTGTGCAGCAAGAAGCTTGTAAGATAAATAAAATCCAGTTTAATCAGAAAGACAAACCTGTCCCCATGACAGAAAGGTCATGTGGGTTCTTTAAACAAAAACAAAAAAAAGTAATCCCAGCATGCACCATAGTGGGTGGCAGTTGTGTATTCTCTCTTTAATGGCAGTTCAAATGTTTCCAGTGTTCACGAGACACCAAGTCCCAACAGTAGAGGTTTGCTGCTACGCTAATGTCATCTACAGACAGACATCCATTCAGTGATTGCCTTACGCAGAGTCCGTAGGGAAGCAGTAACAAACCGTAGTAAATCTAAAATGACACTCAAAACTGTTTCCAAATGGGATAAGGGCTCGGTATAGGTCCAACAAAGTGTTAGAAAAAGAGTGCATGGCTGATCATGAAGGACAGAGGACCGAAGGGTGCGAGACCTGAATTTTTAGGAAGGGTCAGTCCTGCAGGTGGAGGGGGAGCAGGAGTGGAAGGGGTCAGAGTTCAGGTCCGGCCTAGGGTCAGTCTAGCAGACGCTTACGTGGGCCCACGCGTGAGCGATGAGAGCGCCGGGTGTCCAGGGTTCCGTGTGACTCTCGGCAGCTCTGGCATATGTACGACTCTGGCACGTGGCTCTTGCGGATCTTAGCACACGACAGGTGGATCCAGGTGTTACACTTGTTACACTCGATCATGGCCCGGCCCGCAAAAGGCTTCATGCAGAAACACGTCACCAGGTCCCACGAGTCGTCGTCTGAGAAGACGTGAGAGAGAAAGCATACCCCGAGTTAAGCTTGGTCACTTTGTGTCATTTGTAACAATGCGATACAATGAATCAAAGAAGAAACCTTACCAGAGTCTACCATGATGTCCTCGTCCTCCTCTGATCCGTCTTCGTCTCTGAACACCACCTGTTTCCCCTGGCGGAACACCGTTCTGTTTCCTGAAAGGCCCTCCACCTTTTGTACCTTCACCACCCCTTCTTCAAGGTCTTGACCGTCCCAGTTTCGATGCTCCTCATTGGGCTCCTCCTTGCAGGGGGCCGGGCTAGGCAGGATCTGGGGGTGGAGGGGAATGCTGATCTCATCTTCAGGCTCTTCTTTGATCATTCGGCCACCAAAGGAGACAGGGTACTGCAGCTCTGGGACTGCTGAGTGGGCCTGCTGAACACCACTTTCTTCACCGGCCGCATGCTCCCTCTCCTTTCTCCTTTTCTTCTTCTTCAGCTTGTCCGCTTTCCTGCGGTCATCTGGGTGCAGGGTGGCGATTGTGTGCTGCAGGGGGAGAAAAGGGGGCATGTATGTTTAGATGGATGAAGATGAACATGTAAGGCTAATGGTGTGACATCAATACAACTCACATCTTTCTTGGTGTGACTGGACATCGTGGATCCTGGCTGTGGACGTTTCCTGCTCCTGTCCTGGGGGACCTTGGGGGGGCGCTGGGGGCAGGATGTTGGGGGTCCCGGGGTCCAGCCATCGCTGTCAGCTGTGCTGCCTGTACTGTTGGGAGGACTGGAACTACTGCGCAGTGGAGAGTCCTGGAACAATGTATGGGAGAACAAAGGGTGAGTGAGTTCAAACTTCCAGAGGTAAAGCTGGTAATTAACAGATTGGCTATTAACAGATCCACTTAATAAGATTCCTGATTACCAATCAATACATGGCAATAAAGCATTTGTATTTATGATTATGATCTACTGTACCAGACTAGAGATATGCTTAACACTAACGCACACTTGCTGTACCTCGCTGCAAAGCAGGCAGACAGCTTGGTGAGTTTGCCTTTGTGTTTTGTCAAGATTGTATGAAGTATAATATACGACGATTCCAGCCCATTGCTTGTAAAACATTGTCAAACATGTTGATTGTATTGATCTGTGCGAGTATTTTATTTTACTTTTATGAATTTTAGGATTGTGTTATCCACTGTAACGTTACATGAATTTATTTGTGTTCAGTTTTTTCTACTTTACCAGGATATTTTGTCAGCGGTTTAAATGTGGAAAGATACTTAATACAACAGTCCTCAGAGGTCAATAAAGAGTGCATTAACAATACAATACGATAATTGTAACGTTAGCTACAGGCACCAACTGCCTCGTTTACTCACCTCTTGCGGGTATGGGATGTAACCGGCATAAGCCAAGACGAAAGTGCAAAACTTGTTAAAATCCTCTACTGTCCTCCTCCTGTATGGCGGACTAAACCCCTGAAACACAGTCACAGCAATGAAACATTAGCCGCATGATCAAACCTACAACTCCCGACATGGCGTTGACATTAACGGCAATTGATCGACACACTACTATGACGTTGCTCTGCTAACGGACACTCAACGTCGGCCCGATGGACGGACTGATGTTGATATTGAATAAAACAACATGTTGACAAACACATGCTAACGTTTGATCAACCGCACGGACAAGTTTCTTTCTTGACTTGTCGGTTAACATTCCCACCGATTAAAAAGTAAAAAACGACAGTTAATATTAGCTCGGTTGGCTAGCAATAGACAGCAAAGAAGTAACTAATGCTAAGAAGCTGGCTGCTGGTTCGTGTCATCAAAGTTTAACAAGCAAAACAAAACTAGGAAGCAACAAATAAACTTAATTGGCCGTCAAAGAGTCATTAATATGTCCATATCAGCTAACTGATAAATGCAGATGACGTAAATACAACGCTTAGTAAGCAAACGTTAATGTTAGCATGTTTCGCAATGGTGATGGAATATTTTCTTTTCGATTAAACGTTAAGCTAGCTTTAGCGACAAATCTCTTATAAAGTAGCGTCTGAAGTAACCACGATGTACCATTTTTTACACACAGCTTTTAGTAGTGAAAGTTAAAACTGAGCTTAGCTAAATGCGTGCAACTTATTTAACGTCTGCACCAGGAGCCAACATTATGAGAACATTAGCGCAGTGAGCTAACGCTAACCAGCAGCTGCTACACTCCGTGTGGTGACAACCTCGATCAACGTCGTTAGCCGTGTCTGCAAACTAATGTCACTCACTGTAAAACAGTTACCAAAAAGCACTCACCTCCGACTGATATGCATGGGATGTCGATGGGTCCATGTCACCCATCTTCACAGAGTACCTGGCCACCTGGCGTTTTGTCAATAACGTGACAGGATAGAGCAACGAACTACTCGACCGTAAACACACGGAGGACCTAGCTTTTGCTTGCTAGATACCTAACATCATAGCTAACGTCGTCTACGTTACGTTACTTGTGCTAAAACTCGAAGCAACAGTGTTCACTCAGTTGTTCCGCCAACGATGACGTCCACCTACTTGTGCTCGCGGTATCAACTAAATCGTCTCAAAGTTGCAAAACGTGTCTCCCGTAAATAGCAAACGTTACTACTGTATTTACACCGGTCTGTTGCTTCACTACGCAGACTGCTAGTAGAGAGGTTCACTTTAGCTGTCACCTGGTAGCTCTAATCATCTTCTGTGGTGGTTATTGGCGTTTGGCAAACCATCTTATGGGTGCATTACCGCCCCCTATTGGGCTGGAGTGCGAAGCAGTAGATTGGCAGAAAAAAGGAAGATATCTCTATTTTTCTTGTTGTTCTTAAAATAATTAGGAAAGGAGATTGTGTACCCAATTCTCCAATTAAATACTATACTCTGGAGATTAAAAGTGTACATTGCATATTTGACTACCACTGTCTTCCAAACTAATTAAAGCCACATAAGTGTGCTTGTGAGCAGAGATACACTTCCCCTATTCATCAGATAAACGTGAAAACAGCCTTCTAGTGTCAAACTCTGCACATAGCCTACATTATTCAGCACAGTGAGGGTCGTGCATCCAAATGAAGCAATAAGCAAAACACATTTTAAGTGGAGGGGGAGTCTTAAAAAATGCATCCTCTCAATCGACATGGTTCCTCTAAAATGAAATAAAAGTATTGTCATGAGCTCAGACAAAAAGCCCTGTTTTTAGCTTTGTGACAATGGCTTTTCCAGCAAATCCATTTTGAAAAGTTTGTTTATCCTGTGAAGTAGGCATATTTTCTCAACCCCAAAAGGGACGAATTCAAAATGTGGAGATACATTCCACTGAACAGGAAGGGCATGAAAAATTGTAATCTCAAAAGTAACACAAACTGTAAAACTGTAATGGAGTAAAAAGTACAATATTTGCCTCTGAGATGTAGTGGAGTAGATAAAGTTGCATAATATGGAAATACTCAAGTAAAGCACAAGTACCTCGAATTTGTACTCAAGTGTACTACTTGAGTATGTACTTTTTTCACCACTGGTTTTGTCTCAACCACCCAAACAGGTCATTCAAGCCATGCCAATAGCCTGTTTTCTTTATTATTTCATCTGTACCACAAAGACTGAGTTTCATTCCAAAGATTCTGTCACCACTGTTCCCATTTGTATGTAAATGTACTCACTTCATCCCATTCACTACCACATGTACTGGAATCCATAAAAAGGTAACACCTAGTGCAAACATTTGAAATGATCTATCACGTGTGGAGTATTAAAACCATACAAGTATGTAATTAAAATATAATATGGTTGTATGCTATGCCATAAAAGTAATGTCAATAGTTAATAGAATTACTAACTATGATTAATCCAACATTATTAATCGTGGGTACAAATCCACATATATATATATATATATATATATATATATATATATATATTAATTGCCGAACGTCGCGAGGAGAGCGCTCATTTAACAAATAGAATGCCTCACGTGTAAATCATAAAGAAGACTTTTTCTCAACGGAAGTCTTTTTTTTAATGTTCCGGTTGATTTCTGTGGTTTGAGCTTCCGCGCGCGTCGACGTGAAGAAGTCAATCTCCAAACATTCTGATCGAACATTATTGTTAAAGATGTCGAACGTCAGACTGCAGCATTTCAGGAGCTTTTTAACCGAACGCTTTACTTCTTTGGCCGTGGACATATTTGGAGAGATTGAAACTATTGTGGAGGCGTACTACGAGGAAAACAAACATCTGCGGAATGTTCTGCACATGGTGCTTAACCCTGAGATAAAGCTACCGAGGATAGGTGTGTTTATTTACTAACATTAGGTAATACAGCTCAGTTTTAATTGTTATAGCAATGTGAGGTTTATGTCTCTGCATCAGGCTGAAAACGAGCCCATGTTAGTTAACGTTAGAGCTGAACTACATAATGAAACGTAACGTTAAATAACGTAATACTGATAACAGTGTAGCGGTTTAAACTGAACTGTAACGTTACATTGTATAAGCTTTCTGCTGTGATCGTAACACTTTATGCAAGCAAGTGCTCTACTTGAGTACACCTTTTGAGGTGAATGTTCTTCACTTAAGTATTTGTGTATGCTATAAAGCAGCATACTTTTAAAGTATTCTCCCTCAATTTATACCCAACTCTCAAATTACTCTTTAAAATAAACATTGTTCAAGACCAGAGGGATGTACGATAAAAGCAAGTGTGACACAGGCAGACTTTCTTTGCGACTAAACCTAAATCCTCAGAGAGATAATGACACTCGCCAAAGAAGCAGCACTGATAAGACGTGAAAACTAACAGAGCCACGTCTCCGCCATTTTAGACTAACCGCGACTAACTGCAGTAAAACGTCAAACATACAAAAGTAAAACAAAATTATTTCTTTTTTTATTGTCATTTATGGCATGTGCTGAATAGAAAAACACAAATAAACATGCTACCTGTATGTCTATTTACTTACTTAGTACATTTATGAAAGAATCATAGCAGTAATTAACAAAAACTTGGGTTAACATGGGTTAAGATTTACAAACTCAAATCCAACACACTGAATATTGTTCTATTCCTTCAGCTGAGGATCTGAATTGTTTCTGGAGAATAATGCCAGAAAAAGATAATGGAGCCACTCGGCCTCTAAACACTCCCTCAATCCCCAAATCTAAACCCAACATCCTCCGGAGGTTGTTTAGGTGTACAGCATGACGATCTAACCAGGTTAAAAGAGGGCCACCTTTGTAACATTGTAAACTGGCTTTATTGATCTAGCTACGTTGTACATCCAGCAGGGAATATAGAAACTACCAAAACGTCTTTGAAAATACGTTGATAGATAAAACCATCTAAAGTGTATGAGTACATCCACCCCTGAGTGCAAAAAAAGATCTGAGCATGTTCAAACAATGAATAGAGGGCTTCACTTGTCTCCCTTTTTATCTGTTCTACAGCATTGTTTTCTGGTGTGCAAAAAGAACTACAGCTTCAAGGGGCCCGTACTGTGGCTTTATTCTTTTTATACCCAAAGTAAAGCAAATGATATATAAATACTTACTATTAGTATTCTCCTTTTTCTCCACAATAGATGTTCCCCAATACACTGGAGCAGCCACAGACGTCAGAGAGCAGCCCCCTGAGCCCAGCAATAAGGTGGATCCGGAAATATCAGAGCCGCTACCTAAGAAACCTAAAGAAGAGCAAATTGAACATGAAATAAGTTTGGGATCAGAACAACAACAACAACAACGACTAGAGCCGGGGGAAGTTGGTAACTTAATTTTCAGAGAGCAGCCCCCTCAGCTGAACATTATCCACTACACTGGAGCAGCCACAGACGTCAGAGAGCAGCCCTTTGAGCTCAGCAATAAGGTGGATCCGGAAATATCAGAGCCGCTACCTAAGAAACCTAAAGAAGAGCAAATTGAACATGAAATAAGTTTGGGATCAGAACAACAACAACAACAACTAGAGCCGGGGGAAGTTGGTAACTTCATTTTAAATGTGAAAAGTGACCCCAAAGAAGAAGAAGAAGAAGAAGAAGAAGAAGAAACCAGCATGCCCTGCATTATTGACTCATTCCACGTAAGAGTGGTTGAGGTCAACTCCGACTCTCCAGGAATCCTCTCAGCTGATGAAGACGAGGACTGTTACGCTGATGAAGACGAGGACTGTTACGCAGCAGCCTCGGATACTTCGGAACCTCGGGTCCCAGATCTCCCACAGCTACCCAGCAGCGAGGAGAGCACAAGTAGAAGTCGGGAACTTCAAAAACGTGATAAAAAGTCAGGAACAGGCTCAACGGTAAGGTTGTTTTAATGCCATAGAACCCCATTAAAAAAGCATTTCATGAATAAATCTAACTGTGACAGGCTGGAGAAGCTTTGTGATGTCGTAGAAAAACATCCAGTCATCCAGAACAATGTTCTAGTTGGAAGCAAAGTTACGTGGTTGTTGAGCTGTCATCAGAAACGCCCCTGACCGGCTCAGGTATGCTTATATTCCTGCACAAATGGGAATAGATACTTTGAATGTATTTTTTTTTTATGCTGATGTTAAGGCAAAGTAAGCATTTTTAGGATTCCTTTGAGCTGTGGCAACTTCTGATTATGACTTTTTCCACCCCGAGTAAAGGTGTATAGTTTTTCAGAGTTCATCTGGGTACCAAAAAAAACCTGTATTTATCCAGCCATGGATAAGTCCTAGAGAATTACAACACAGAGCAAAATGTTCTGGAGAAAATGAAGTTGTCCCAAATGAGTTTTTATCGTGCAACTTTGATCTGAAGATGTCCTGGAAATATCCCTAAAATGATCCTGTAAGAACTGTGGGAAAACACCGTGGCGCCCTTAAGGACTAGTAGAGAATGTTTTGTTTGTTTTTAACAGTTGAAGCGTGAAATAATTCTATTTTTTATTTTCCTGCTACAAAATGTAAGAAGCCAAGGTGGTCCCTACAGAAAACCATGCTAGAATTACCAAGGTAAGAATGACTGCACTTTTATAATTGTGATTATTATATTTTCATTTTATATATCGCTAATAATTGTAACCTGTTTCATACAGGATGGCGACCCAGCCATCTTTCCTTCCTGCCCCGACTGACTGCCGGTCCTTTTTGACAAGGCTCACAGAAGCCTTCAAGAATTTTCCAGATGACAAGAAGCCTCTGATAACTAAAATGGGCCTCACGGAGGATGTGGAGTTGGTGGACTGTGCTTTTGGTAAAGTCCCTAAAGGTTGCTCCCTGTCCTATCAGTGCCCCGTACCATCAGAAAGGGATTACAGGATTCACATCGACGAACCCCCTCGACCGCTGCTCCCCCTGGCTGATCACAGACTGAAGCCGATGCCGGTCGTGCCTACCCTCAGCGCCAAGGAGCAGGAACACATGGACGTCATGCAGATCACCTGGGAGGCAGCGCACCTGCTGGAGCAATCCACGCGAGGACGCAAGGAGGAAGAAGAGAAGCTGAGGACCCTGCGTTTGACCAGCCGTTTCAAGGAAGTCTGCAAGCTCAAACCAGGAAGGACCAACGCGCAGCACCTCCTATTCAAGATACAGAAAGGATTACCCCGGTGCAAGGCGGCGCAGATAGAGGAGGAAATGAAGGCCGAGGCACTTCTGGAATACTGTAAACATTTGCGCGTCAACTGGTCCCCCTGCGGGTTCGTCATCCACCCGAATGCTCCGTGGCTGGGGGCGCTGCCCAGCGGGTTGGTGTACGACCCCAAGGAGACTCCCAGCTTCGGGCTGGTGCACGTCAAATTCACCGGGTTCAGGAGCTTCATCGAGTGCAAGTTCCTGTTCTACCCGGACGGAATCCTGCAACTGAAGAGCACCCACTCGCACTACTGGCAAATCCAAGGAGAGATGATGGTGACGGGCACGGAGTGGTGCGATCTGCTGGTGTTCTCCAGAGAAGACATGCTGGTTCAGCGCATCTACCGAGACGATGCCATGATCAACATCATGAAGAAGAAGTTGGATGATTTCTTTTATTACTACTACCTGCCATGTTTGTCTTAAACTGACGGCCCAGCTCGAGCGTCGCCGCACTGCTGTTATACAGTACTTGCTGGTGGTTGGTTGTGAGTTTTCACAGATTGCAAACTACTTGAATGTCATTTTTTTTTCTGATCACACATGTTCATCTGGCGTTATTAAACAGACATTGTATTAGTTTCATTGAGTCTAGTCGACAAGAAGGTTTTTATTCTGTAATGTTTCTCTCGTTGAAGTATGTTTTCATTAACCACGGATACATTATTGATCTTTTGTACTTTCTTTTTCTTTGAAATGACTGTCGAGAGAGCCAGATCCCGTAGGTAATTCAAAACTGAAGTAGAGTTTATATTTGTCATGTTTACCTCTCTTACTGCTCTCCAGAGGTGTCCTGTTCTAGGGCTGCACCTACTTTAAAGACTCTTTTTTTTAAATTATTGATTAATCTGCTGATCATTTACTCGATTATTCTATTATCCTACCTCAATTTCCTCGAACCCAAGCTCACATTGCTTACACTTTCCTTACACCTCAAACCCTTTCAGGTCTCAGGTCTTAAACTTTCAATAAAAGCAAAAATCAAACTTATTCAGCTCTCCTAACTCCCACAACTTACACTGTTCATACACAATTTACTGAAAGTGATTTCATTGCTTGCATAACACTGACAACATTTTCAGTTATTTTACAGTAAAGAAAGATATTTGAAGAAAAACAAGAGGTTGAATTCGCAATGATTGATTATATTGTTAAACACAGCATTGCGGAGGTAAAGCCAATGGCAACAAAACAAGGGCTCAGGTGGAGTGTTGTCTTGTGTGGCCTCTGCTCCTGTAGGGGGCGCTGTGTCCACTCACTGAGGTAGTTGCAGGACTCGGAAGCATGTCTTTGGTTAATATCAGATGACGTCGACTGAAGTGATGTATTTTTTTTTTTGTAGCGGCTGGGTAGAAAAATAAGACAAGCTATTCTTATCAAAAAACCGCTTTGTCATGTTTCACTCTTACCCCACGTGCGTGTGTGTGACAACAAGTATTAGTCAGCAGTTCTCCCACAGTCAGTCACGTGTCCTCTAGATTAACCGGATGCAGTTGTTTTGAAATTACCAGCTCGCTGCTCTCGCTCAGACACGCGCACGCACACCGTTGTGTCTCGTCTCGAGCTTGTGGGTCAGGGTGCTTTCTGACCACCTTTGTTTTTTTGTGAAAATGGCTGTTAATAAAACATACATTAGTATCGGCTATGCGTCGTTTGGTGTGCTCATGGGGTTTTCGGCGTTCCTGGTGTGGAACATCGCGTTCAATCAGCCGTGGACTGCTGCCATGGGAGGACTGTCAGGTAAACACCGTGTTTGTTTGCAACAGTGCTTTTTACCCCTTCTTTTTAGCGTGTGTCATGGTAAAGCACAAGTGTCCTGTGCATGTTTTTATACTAGTTTACTGCTAAAATACCAGTGAGCTGAAGGTGCCCTAGTTACTAAACCTACCGATCGTACAATATGAGCCTGTGGACACAGACCACAGTGCAAACGTGTTTTTGAAGGGCAGAGATGTCAATCTATCAACACTGTCACACAATAAGTCAAAGTATTTTATATATATATTAGTTGGATATTATGACAGTTTTTCATAGGTTATAATAAATAATGCTAGTATAATAAATGTAATGATACAAAATATTAAAAGGACAGGATCATCCCACATAAACTGCCTGTATTTAATGATGATTTCCACAATTTTTCAAAGCATGTTCTAGTGTTTGAGTAGTGTAATGGTACCATTCATTTAAAGACTGCAAGTTCATTTTTATATTGTGCTTTAATGAATAGAAACCACTGATTGCTCAGAAGGCACATAATTGAATAGAATTGAAGGCAAGTGTTTGGCATGAGTGTAGTTGTTTGATAATAATATGATCCTCTGAGTCTGGAGTCATTTCTAAGTGTGGCTCTGATTTGACATTTTGAGTTTTAAAAAAATGGAATGTTGGCTTCATGCATATTCATGTTGCAGTGAGTTGTGTTCAGGGTTGTTTCCATGTATGTGACCTTTGAGCTGCTGTTGAGGTTGTTAAGTCCATATCTATAACCTCTGCACTCATCTGTTCCCAGGATGTACTGTTATCAATTTTAGTGACGTAATACATGTTCCCAAAGATAAAACGGACTCGTCTGGGCTCTTTGATTTAAGAAGTGTAGCATTGTCCTCATTCTCTCACACAAATAAGATTGGTGTCATGCATATAAGTCAACCCCATTCCCCAAACCGAAACATTACTGCTATATGAGAAACATTTTCATTTTCCAAATGGGAACGAGCTGCAACCTGTTCCTTGCCTGCTTTAATGATAGACCAACAAAATAACATTTTCCCCAACAAAAATCATTCACGTCCATCATTTCAGTTTTATGAAAAACGCGTTAACTCTCCAGCTTTCAACAATGGCCACCCAACGCAGACGCTGCTGCTGCTGTCAGACTGCTCCAGTGACACTCAGTGAGGGTTGTTAATGGTTGGTGGGTTCACTGTTACATGTGGCGGAGATTCACAAAAACAAAAAGGGGAACACAAAGAAAGAAGTGTGATTCAATTAACTCAGCATTTTGGCAACATGCTGAGTCATGATGTGCCTGAAGATGCACACTCACTCCTGATACCACCATCAGTTCATGACCTTACAATCTCGGGTCGACGTCTGTTACATGTGAGCAGTTAACATCTGCTAGTGAAAGTCAGTCACCGAAAATTAACATTCATATTATTGTTTTTATGACATACGTGTCTATGTATTATTTGCATGGCTGCCTGTAAAAAAAAATCTAGGAAGTGTTTCGTCTGCTCAAGAAATGTGTAGTTCTTCAGTCAAAGCAGCTCTCTGTCTAACCTGTAGTCTTCTGAAAGCTCACCTGTCGGTTGTGTTTGTCCCTCAGGTGTGCTGGCACTTTGGACCCTGATCACTCACGTCATGTACCTGCAGGACTACTGGAGGACCTGGCTGAAGGGCCTCAAGTTCTTCTTCTTCATCGGGGTCTTCATCTCTCTGTTAGCAGTCGTGGCCTTCCTCAGTTTCCTGTCTATTGCCATCAGCAACAAGCAGTGTAAGCTCTTCTACATCACCTTCCTGTCTCACATAGTTTGGTGTTCACGCTGTTCTTCTCTCAAAGTGTTTATGCTCTGCAGTGTGGTATAATCAGACCAAATGCTGTTTGTCATCACACTGAACACACACAAGTAACAGCCCCAACAGACAATACGTAAGAGAAAGATCAGACACAATAATGTAAATAATCACAATAAACAAAGAAATGAAAAGATGCAGCACAAGTTGAGATAGCTGAAAGAAGCTGGAGAACCTGACGAATCAGATGATTGGTTTGACTCCTGGTCGAGTTTGGTGTCTCCACTCCGCCTCCACCTGACTCTTTTAGGTTTACGTACAGATTTCCTACAATTCCCAGAATGCCCTTTGGGAAATTGTCGGAGCAAGTTTCTCCGGTTGAGAAAATGTCAGAAAAGGTCGTCCCTCTTACACAAAATGCAACGTACATTGCATTTGTTTTCTGCTATTGCTATCTCTGTTTCATTTTGTCATTTTAGTCAGTTTTTCACAATTTTGGCCAAATTAACAAACTGCTTAAAACAGACGTGAGTCAAAAAGATTTGACCCCCATCTTCTGAGACCTGTTAAATGTATACGTAGTCATGGTGATTGATATAATGTGTCTTATCCTACATGTGATCACTTGCTCTCAGAGGCTACTCACTTAGCGGTAAGTAGGAGTAAGTCCGTTGATAAGTCCGTCTTTTTGTCACTTTCAGGGAAGTACTTTTATACTAGTAAGTTGGATTTGTAAGGCTTTCGTAGGTGTAATTCTTTAAAGTTTATGTTCGTATGGGCCAAGGCCTTTTTACCCGACCTCACTGATGCTCTTGTGGCTGAATGTGAGCAAACCTCGTAGCCGTGTTCCAACATCTTGTGGCAAGCCTTCGCAGAAGAGTTGATGGTTGCTTTAGCAGCAGATTAATGACCATGGTCTCTCCCTCCCACACAGCCCTGGCTGACCCTCGGAGTCTCTACCTGTCCTGTGTGTGGAGCTTCATGAGCCTGAAGTGGTCCTTCCTGCTCGCCTTGTCCGCTCACCGCTACCGCAAAGAGTTTGCCGACATCAGCATCCTCAGTGACTTCTAAGGGCACTCAAACATCCCGCAGTGACCACACAGACTTTGGAGTACACTCGCTGCGCTGGCTTCCCAGCCTGAGAGTCCAAATGAAGGACATTTTAAGTGGAATCAGAAGAAAGGTGGGACTACTTTTTGTTGTGGATGAGAACCCTGATCCTGGTTACTCCCTTGCCTTCTTGGCCCAAACCTCCTCATCCTTTTTTTTTTATCGTGTTTGCAGGGTTTGTTGCTGACTTGGCCACTTTACAGACAGATCCAGCCCTATTTCATAAGATGTTTGATAGATTTTCATTTCCTCAGCACCCTGCTTAGTCATGTATCTGCACAATTTCTTCATGACACAATAAATCCAAAAAATGGTAATGTTTTTCATGACTCAGTGAAGGGAATTACTGTGCTTCCACACAATCTTCAGTGGTAAATATGTGTTGCAGTTCCATGCTGTAGCCACTAGAGGGAGCCATCCTTCCAACAGTTAAACACCATGTACAGTACAGGACGTGTGCTTGACATCCCAATCTTATTATTTAAAAAAAAAAGTTCTTGTTCAATGAATGATGAAATGTTGCACATACAGCGGTCAAATTGATGAAATCTGCATATCACAGTGCATCGCTCCTAATGGTGAATACATGATGTATATCCAAGATCCTCTTTAACAGAGTGTCGAGGTCTTGCAGAGGGCAGGTCACCTGAAATCCTGCAGCATCAACGCGAATGCTTTCATGTAACAAGCACCACATGTCCTGGTTTGATGTGTTTGGGACCCATGAAGGGGCATTTTTAATGTAAAGAAGGATTTTTGTCTAATTTTTTTATCAGTGTGAACATGGGCCTCAATCATGGCTTTGATTTGTGACGGTAGCGACACCACTAATGTGCATGCATGTTGCATTGTATTGTCCTCATCTGAACTGCTAATGACACTTCTATTGTTGCTTCATGAGATTATTTTGCTGTATTTCCTTATATCTCTGTACATGTTGGAAATTAAGAATGAATGAACGCAGTGTTCTTGGATGTATCTGAGAGTCATGTTAATAAAACGTTTTTTTGTCATCCATCCCCTGTGCTTTGTTGTGAATAACAACTGTTCCCCTTTTTTTTTTAAGAAGTAATATTTTTTTTGGTACAGTTTCTGTTAATCTAAAGCATTTAGCTTTTTAAGGAGTTTTAGCAGCAAAAATATATATATATATTTTTATTTTCTTCATAAGCCTTGTGGACTTTCATGTAGCATGAGAAAGTGTCACAGGGGCAGAATGAAGGTGCTACACATCCTTCTTCCTACCGACCCTGGGTCAGGAGGGTCAGTGTCGGGCATTAGAGTGGGATTTGCACCATGAGAGGAATAAACCACTTTCCCCCACCCACCCAAGCCACATTTATGAAGAACAAAACTCCCCACAGCATTGTAATCGCAACTGTGAATGCAGTTCAATAAGCTGCGCTTTGAAGTCAGGCAATTATTCCATCCATCCACATTTTTATTTTGCCCCTCAAAGGGAAGGTTTTTGGGGGGGGGGGGAGTTTTTCGTGTATGATTTTGTTAAGGCCCGATAAGAGGACTTTGAAGTTGATGTGAAAAATATGCGACTGAAATATTCCAGCCCTATCAGTGTTTGGTGCATTATAACTCATTTAGTTATTCATTTACATGAAAATATCTGGTGAAGAAATGTGTCTCTTGAATCCTGCAGCTGCTCCCGAGTGTAACGGAAAGTGAATCATGCGCATTGTTTCTTTATTTACCAGAAGTATCAGTAACTTTGATCCTTGAGAAGCCACTATCATTATTTCACCCTCTTTGTTGCTTTCCTGCATCCTTCCTCTTGTGTTTTAAGGACATTTTTGGTGGTACTTATATCTTAATTGCATTACACTGGTTTGTTTGTTAGCCCCCAGAGTCTCATTGCATCAAGGTAATTGCGATGTTGTGGTTAAATCACCATGGCAACATTTTTTATCTGGCCGTTATAAACTTCGACATTAAGAAACTGAAAAACAATCCGGCTCACTTTCCACTGAGCAAGCTGGGGGCTTTGGAACCAAATGCGTCCTATTAAATTTATACACCAGCCTGTAAAACGTGTGTGTGTGTGTGAGTTTGTGTGGTATGTAAAGAGAAGGAGGGGTCTCGTTTTATTCAATTATGGGACTCCTTTCTACCCAAATCAAGGAAGGAAGTTGTCTCAAGTGTTGACTGGCAGTCTGGTAGAGTGCGGTGAGACTGGAAACTAAAGTTTAAGCCTTCAAATAACACAACCATCCTAAACATCCTGTATAATTAGATAGTAAAGAGCAACAGCAGCTGAATCAAAATCTATAACAAACAACCTAAAGGGGAAAATATTCCTTTGCATTGCACACATGCACACCTCCACAGCAGATGTCAGAAAACAACACAAACGCACTGCTTCCACCCGTCTGCGACTCGTGAGTACTCGCTGACACATCAAAATGAGTAGTTACATGCGTACAAATTCAAATACTATACTTAAGTAAAATGTTCATACATTTACTTTATATGTCTACACCATTACATCTCACATTTTGTACATTTTTCTTAACTACATTTATTTGACAGATTTACGTACTTTTCAGATTTGTGTGTTTTGTACATCATGGTCCGTTTTTTAAGATATGATGCATTGTTTAGATCAAACTCCCCAACAGTGTATGAAGTGGTTAAATCAGCTCCGGCTTGACCAACTGCAACAATACTGTTTACATATTAATGTCTAAACTATCCAGACGTCATGATATTACAGCACTGACATGGGCCATTCTGCATAATTAGCACTACTAATGGGGTATTTTCACATGTAATTTATTAATGGCAGTGATGGAAGAAATATTGCAATCTTTTACTTAAGTAGCATGGCAATATCACATTATTAATAATCAATAATGCGCATCATTTTACACCAGTGGAAGAACAAGTCTATTAGCAACAAAACGTATTACAAGTACTTGTTAAGTGGCAGAATAAATTATATACTGATGCATTAACAATGTTTATTTTGGCATTGTGGAGCTAATTTTAACTACTTGTTAAATTATTGATCAATTAACTATTGATTGATTAATCTACAACAATGCGTCATACGTTATGGGCTGTCTGTAAAATGTTTATCTTCAAAGTAACCAGTAACTTTATTTGTTTCATAAACAGTTTAATATTTCCCTCTGAGATGACGGGAGCAGAGGGACAAAGTAAATCAAGTAGAGCACAAGTGTCTCAAAATTGTACTTGATTACTTTTCACCAGTAATACAGGGTGAACATTACACTACAGTCATTTAGCAGACGCTTTTATCCAAAGCGACTTACAATTCAGATTCTATCACATTTCTACACCGTAGGCACAGCTACGGGAGCAATTTTGGGGTTAAGTGTCTTGCTCAAGGATACATCGACATGCGACTAGCAGAGCCGGAGCTGGGGATTGAACCGCCAATCCTCTGATTGAAAGACGGCCCTGCACGGCCCCTACTGTTACACTCAGCCACAGTTGCCCCAGGGATTCACAGCTTTGACTAATGTCTGTGATGCGTGCTGGACAACAGCTCCACTCTGAATTATGATCATCGGTATTAATGACACAAAAAATGCAGCATTTGATCTAAAAAAAGATGCGTCAGAAGGAAAAAGGCTAAATGAAACGCAAACATCTTGAATTAGTCGAGAACCAGATGGCCTCTTTGACATTAAGAAGCCGCTTTGGCATTTTAAGAAGGCAGTCCTAGAATGATTTCCGAGGAACTTCCGCAAAGCGAGGTACAAAGCCCACAGATATTTAAGCAATATCCATAGCAATTTACTGTTTTATTTACAAACTGAAACATATGTTTCTCGACCTTTGCAGCTCCCCTCACCTCCCGTCTTTCCCTATTACCACACCAATCTACTGCTGCAGGATTTCTCCCACACTATCTCTGCTTTTTCCTTTTATTTGTCTTGGTATTATCTTCTTCATCCTCACTCATCAGTCATTAAAACTCTCCCTGCAGACCTGCCTGTTAACAGCACACCCCTACTGTTACACTCGGCTATTGTTTCTTTCCTTCTCTGACTCTTGTGTTTGCTGTGTGCGATGCTGTCCGTGCCGCTGGGACCACTGCGAGCTCGCATCTGAAACATTTTAGAGAGACACATATTTGCTGTTTTAGAGCACAAAGGGATATGCCATGGCAGAGGCTGTTTGAAGTGGCTTCACATGGGGGAACCAGAACCAGAACGAGGGATTTGAGAAACCATAAAGAAATCGGTGAATTCATCTAATCTAATGGAAGTGGGGATTGATTCAATGTGAAGGCGCACCCCTTTGAAGCTGGCCCTGTTGATGTTTCTAATGCAATGGCTCTGTTGTAGAAACGAAGCATTCCTCTCTACCTTGCACACAGTGCTTCACTGTGAGTTTGACAGGAGTGGATGCGTGATAGTGCCTAATCCAGGAGATCCCAGGTTGGCACTGCTTCCAGGAACCAGTATTTGAAGTGTGAGATTGGAGACAGCAGCGCTTGACTCCCCTCAGGCTCCTTATCTAAAGACATGATGTTTAGATTGATTTGTGGGGTGATTTCTCTGGTTTTCGAACAAGGAGCCGTGTTTGTAGAGAGGCCAAAAGGTGTTTCAGTGCCCTCACAATTTGAAGATATTCAGACTGAGACGAGAGCACATTGTATCTAATGTACGTATCAAAACAAGAGAGGATCGGAAACGCATTCACCTGACGGTGGTTTTCCTTTCCTACCCGTGGCCTTGTATTGCATTGGTGTTAATATACATACTTTATATTGTCCTCATCACAATGTATTCTGTTGTCAGCGTTCAAGTTTTGTATGAAGCTGTCTTGTGGCTTATTAAGCTAATTTCAGAAGTTGAACCAGCATGGTCAGCTCTGATCGGCTGACATAGCGACTCTTATAAGTGTTTACAAAGAAAAATAACCTAAAACATTGAATTTGAATAGCTGACTCAGCAGAGGAAATGACTTTCATGTGATGATTTGCTATTTATAGGGCTCGATCACGTCAGCGTCTCTCTGCCCGGCCGATCAGAGTCAGCATTATCAACTGGAATAAGCAGTGTGTTTTCCTTCTGTTGGTCATGAAACGATTTTAATAGAAACAAAAGACGTTGATTCTTTTTCATCCACAGAGAAGTTACTGTTACTGTTTTTTCCCTTTGTTGTAGCCCATGTGTCACATTATCACATGCACACGTAGATCATATGACCCTCTATTTGCACATATGGACATGATGTGATGCAACAGTCAGCCAACATTACCTGCTCACACACATGCACACACACACATCTAGCCTCAAATCTCAGAACAAGTTTCATCTTCCACTTGTTTGTTTAATGTAGGTTTCCGTGTGTAACACTGACAAACTTCATGAAGAAACTTTTAAACTAGATCCCCCTTTTCAAGGCTTTATGTGTTGTAACTAATAAGTTAATTCAAAGTTAATAAATAACTTACTAATGCCTTATATAAATGTTTTTGGGTTGCCGGGTTGTGACTGGAAAAGAGCTTTTACTAATAATTACCTACATTTAAAACTGCATTATTACCAAAGGGAAATGTTATGTTGTTTTTAATAATGGATAATACATTTGATAAATTAAGTTTCTACGACTTCAAAGCCCTTTATAAAGAGTGACTTATAAGAGAGTGGTACTGAAAACAGTCTCGGCGACACACAGTGGATGTCTGTTTTTAACCATCATGCACTTCTTCTTCCCTTCATGTCCCAGAATAAGCCACACAAGGCTTTCTCCAGCCTAACCTGCTGCTCAGCGTACACCAACCCAGCATGCTGTATTCCCAGCTCAGCTGTGAGCTCCACTGGGACTGTTTGTAATGTGCCATGAACGAACCCCACCACTTAAACACTGTAATCAGAGCCAGAGCAGGATATTGGCTAAATTACACATGAAAGCAGGGACATTTGAAGGAAGCTTGAGCACTAAATATTATGATAAATTACGGTCTAATACGAGAAGATAAGTCACAGCTAAACAAGAATAATACAGGCTTGCACGCAGCGCGGGAGGGAAGCGTTTTTAATGCATGATTTCACTTTTAAATTTGAAAAACACATATGTTAAAGGTATCTATAAACATTCTGGAGATTTCAATCATGTCACATGGTCTTCGTCAGCAAATGGAGGTTGCCAGTTGTTGGAATTGTCGATTTCATTAAAAACATTTTTTTTAGTAATATGTAACAATCAAATAAAAAAATGTGAAAAACAATAATATTTATTAAGAGTTCAACACAAAAAAAGAATAGAGCAGATTCGCTTCATCCGGACTGTGTGGGTGTGGTTTGAACAGGTTTGATTGACAGACCTGGTAACATGAGCAAATAACTGTCACATTTTGATTGGAATACTGTGAATGGTGCACAGATGTACATCACCGTTTTCCATATGAATCCAGAGGAGCACAGACTAAAACAGCGCAGACAGAAATCTCTTAAGTGAAATAACTTTGTCAGAAGGTTTCATTTCATTCATCGTGAGAGGCTAATTTAGAAAACTGGTTTTCAGGGCCTTTAAGGACGTATTGTCGATGTGGACTTATTAGTTATTTAAATAAGAGTGTCTAATAATTTATAATCTCTATCAAAATGTTTCTGTGCCTTTGTGGGCACATTCTTACCAACCGCGCTTTATATCATTTCGAAATCTCAGACTTAATGGAATAGTTTGACATTCTGGGAAAGTTATGGCTCTCTTGCTGAGAGTTAGATGAGAGGATTGACGCTACGCTCACATTTGTACGGTGAACACAACAACACAAAGTTCAAGCCAGCAGCAGATTCTCTTAGTTTAGCTTTGCGCAAAGACTGTTAAGGGGTAAACAGTTAGCCTGGCTCTGTTCTTAAGTAACAAAATCCACCAACACAATTTGTAATCTTTACACTTTTTGGGAGGATTAAACAAATAAAGATAAAAGTGTTGATTATTGACCCGTAGTGGTCCTGATAGGCTGATTTTGTACCTTAGGACAGAGCCAGGCTATAGCAGTTTCCCCCTGTTTACAGTCTTTATGCTAATCTAAGCTAACCGGGCTGACTCCAGCTTTATATTTAACTCACTTACATGAGAGTGGCATCAATCTTCTCATCTAACTCTTGATGTGAATATTCTTTGTCCATTGATGGTTAAACTTTGAGAGTTTACCATTTTTTCCTTCAAAAATCTACACCTTTACACAGTTTGCATTAGATTTGCTTATTATCCGCACCTCTCGTCCCCCCCCCCCCACTCCATCCAGTCCCATCACCACCATCCCCCACATACCATGCACCTTCACCCCTTCATCCCCCCCACCGCCCTGCTCCTCCAGAAACCCTCTAAGTGGATACCCCACAGGAAGGGCTTCTCCAGGGGGGAAATGGGTCCCAGATGTTTGCCTTTTGTGCCACTATAGGCTCCTCGGGAGGGATGGAGCCGTGGACGGGTGGGTATGGGGTGGAGGAGGGTGTAGTGTGCAGTGCGCAAACATCAATAACGGCAGCCAGGAGGGTGAAGAAACTCCCGGGGTGAAGGTGAGGAGGAATTTAATGATTAGTTCCTTTTGTCAAGCCAGCGTGGATTTCCAAACACATCATTTATGATTGGTCACACTGCCCCGCTCCTACCAGCTGAGCATGTCACCGCAGTGCTTCGTCCTTTTGCTGTATGACGGTAATTGAATTGACTGCATTACGGTCTTAAAGAAACTGTTTTCCCCTCTTTTTTTTCCTGGAGAACTTCAAAAGTTTCAACATGGCCGCTCCTCAGTGCAGTATTTCAGTCAGGACCAAACCACATGTTGTAGAGACAGAAACAGACAATACATTGGCCTTCTTTGATATCCGAGCCCCCTTGTGTGTGTAAGTGTGTGTGTGTAAACCTATATATATATATATATATATATATATATTGATATGTGTATGATCTATTTTCAGCTCTAGAAAGGGTTAATTATGACCCCCTTGGAAATAAAACGAAGAAAAGAGCAGGGCCCGAGTGTTTAGTGAAACATTATGTCAAGACTCTGACAAGGAAATGAAATGTGCAACATCAATCAGCCTATGAGGACAGAGATCAAACGAACCTCCACACTCCTGCATCTGGTTCTGTTTGGACAGCCTCACTTTTTTCCCCCTTCTCTCTCTCCTTTCTTCTCCTTTTCTTCTCCCCTTTTCTTATTCTTCTCCCATTCTCTCTCTCTCTTCTCTCCCCTTCTGTTCTTCTATGTGCCACGACATTCCTGTAGGCCTACTCGCTTTGTTAGCTCATTTTTTCCATGATGGTGGCACACAGCCACGATTTTGCTAAAGGTAAGCGGCAGCTCCCGAGATTAGCCTCCGCAACAATGACTTTCCTGTCCCTCCACTGTCTCCACCAGAGCTCCCAATAAGCCCAAATTCTAATACCAGTTAATCCTGGAGTTGACTTGCCTGTTATGTAAATACAACCTCATATAATTCACTGTCTCTGTCCATGGCCTTGCTTTGAAGGCCAGATGAGGGTTTTTTTCTTCCAAGTTGATTAAACCCAACTGGGATCGAGCTACTTTCCGTTCAACGTCCCTCTTTGAATGAAATGTAAACCAGTGCAATCACGAGGCTCATCAAGAATCTTCTGAACTGCTCTCTGCACACACGGTCCTTCAAATGCCGCGGCAATCACACCCAAATTGTCGGCTAGAAACTGTCAAGCAGCGTGTCAAGAATGAAATCAGGTTTTTTTGTTACAACCCAGAAAACTTTTGTTAGTAAATAATACAAGTTTCTGAATATCTTGTCTCTGCGTATTCACATAACGTCTCTGGACTGTGACTGAATTTGTGTCAGTTTTGGAAACATCAGAGATGCAGCAACTCTCATAAAAAAAGACATGTTCGGAGGTGTTGAAATATAAAAGCTACCATTAAGTATGCTGTCATCAAAAAGTACCAAATTTCAGCATCTTAGAGCAGCGGAAAACTCCCCACAACATTTCTCCCCAGCGATCTACACATGAGTCACTCAAGTCATGACGCATGTAAGGTATAAACGGTCACAATGTTGGGAAACTGTTGTGGATTCAAAGTAAGATTAGTGCACAATTTAGTCATTTGATCAAATTGCAGGTCGTTGTGCAGAGATTTAAAGGAAACATTAGCTTGAGCTATGTTCTGTCATTTTCTCAAGGAGACCTGTCTGCTGTGTCATGACTGCCAACGTGTAGAAATGTGTTTAAGTGGCTGCAGACCCAGATGGGTTCGCGGTGTGGAGGTTGAACATGTGTCGGCACTGCCTCGAGGCCATGGATGGCACAATTACGTGCTCTCTCACCTCTGCAGACTGAGGTCACTGGGCCACTGAGGTCAGGGGTTATTTAGGGTCCTGTCTGTGCTCCCTTCCCAACCCAACGTAGATGACTAGGAGCAGCTGATGTCACCAAACGCTGGTTAGGTGTTAGATTACGGATGTCTTACGAGGTGTGTAGGAGTTCAGAGTACATCAATGTGTACAGAGACAATGACAAATCTCAGGAAGCTCATCTTACACGATTATTTCCAAGATGCATGCTTGCACAACCTCAAATGTTCTCTCAGATCAACTTAAAACTGCTGCAACAGATTTATAAAAATCCTTTTTTGGTTTGGTTTGGTTTTAGACTTTACGGTCTGTCATGGCAAAAAAATGTATAGTTTTTGCAATTATAAACAAAGCGCATTTTTTAACCTATATAAATCCTCCTTTGGTCTTTTAATCTGCGGTATTTTCATTGAATTGGGCCACGTTGTGACCCGGGGTTTAACGGATTTGTTTTTATAGTGTCTGGTTATCAGCATGATAAAAAAACATGGCAGACAAATGTTAGTGTGAACTCACACTTGTTTCCATGTTAAAGGAAAAAATGAAAATGCACATGATTGATGGCTTTTATGTTGTAGGAAGAAAAGCTGTTGACAATGTGTGTTCATAAAAATACCATATAATAAGTATTCAATATCAAAGTTTACACAGATGACTGTCAGAAATAAAAGGTTTAGGTTTATTCCTGTAGTAATAGTGAGTTGATGAACGAGAATGCAGACACAGGAGTGCATGCTGACTGACGCTCCAGCCCCAAATCTGGAACCCATAAAGCCTCAGACATCCCTGCAACATTAGACACAGCACTTCTTATTGGCTCAGAGGTCCACTTACCCCCTTCCTCTATTGCCCGCCCAGCAAACGCACACTTCCTGCTTCTCTGCCTGACTCAGGCCGAACCACGCCCTCTGGAAGTCCGCTTAGCCAAAGAGAACTGCCCGCAGGCCCCGAGTTAGCATTTGGGTATAAAAGAGGCGGAGGTGGACCTGCCTGTCAGATGGTTTGTTGTTGTTCTGTCTGCCAGGTTGAGAGGGGAATGTAAAAGTTAGAAATTTAACAAGGTAACCAGGAAACAGGACAGCCAGAGCGACGTCCAAGCCGATGGAGTTTCTGAAGCCGTAACTTTCTTTGACGAGAGAGAAGACTTTTGTTACACAAGCTTGTCAAGTTCGGGTTTGTTGTTGCTTGAAAAAGAGCATCACAGCGTCTCGTCTTTGCAGTGGAGGCTGAAAGGTTGTCGGTGGACAGTACGATGAGAGAAGAGGTGTCCTGCACCAACTCCCCCGAAGGAGGTCTGGGGGCCAGCGAAGAGGAACTAGAAAGAGGGTCGAAGAAGACCTCCCAAGCAGGGAATCGGAAACGTTCCCCTTACCCCAAGAAGGACAGCCTGGGTCAGGCAGAGGAGAGCAGCACCGGCAGCCCCAACAGCCTGGTTGCATGTGGTCCAAAGAAGGTGAAGAAAAGCCCTTCGACAGTTGTGTCGTTGGCCCCCACGTCGCTGGGCCCCAGGCTGGACCAGCCCTTCGAGGACCTCCACTCTCAGCGCGTCATTGCCAATGTGCGGGAGCGTCAACGCACTCAGTCCCTGAACGACGCCTTCTCCTCTCTACGCAAAATCATCCCCACGCTACCTTCGGACAAGCTGAGCAAGATCCAGATCCTGAAGCTGGCCTCACGCTACATCGACTTCCTCTACCAGGTGCTGCAGAGCGACGAGATGGACGCCAAGCTGGCCAGCTGCAACTACCTGGCCCACGAAAGACTGAGCTACGCCTTCTCTGTCTGGAGGATGGAGGGTGCCTGGGCAATGTCCACCAGCCACTAGGCCAGCCATCGAACTTCTCTCCTAAACCCTCTCGTGTCCACATCTCCACCCCACCGCCTGTGTCTGTGTTTGCACCCATTTCACGACCTCTGAACCTCTGAATTCTTCCCCTTTTGGTCTGATCTTAACCTTTTCATCTCAAACCTTCGCCTACATTCCTGCTCCATCTCTGTGCTCCATGATGGTTCACTTCATCTCTACACCAGTATTAACATCCAGAGTTGAATCTTTGCAACTAAAAACCTGTTCTCCTGCATTGTTTCCACCTTCACTGCTCTCCCCTGTCTGTCCTAAAGTTTAGTCCAGTGCAACAAGACGCTCCACTGCAGCCCCTCAGGTATGGACAAAATATACAAAAACACACTCACAGACAGCATGAACACATACATAAATCATACACAAACACGCACGTGTACACTCACCATGTCATCAGCACACGTGATTTTGTTTTTTCTTTCCATGTTCGAAATAGTCATAGTAATACATTATTTGTTGACTTTCCGCTCAACAAATAAATACCTCCAATGCACTTCACAAACGAAATGCACAGACAGGAATAAAAATAGCATTCCGTGCTTAAAATATCAAATAAAAGCAAAAATAAAACAAAAACTGTTCTAAGCTTTTATTTTATAAGACATGCAGCACATCAAGAAAAGGCTGAATAACAGATGTATTCAGACTAAAGAACGTGAAGCAAAGTTGTTTTATAAAGCACATTTATTTATAAATGAATAATAAAATCTCAATATAATTATACAACAGCTGTTAAAATGCCTTAATTGCAACACATTAACACAAACGAACTAACTTATTAGTTTTGATATTTACAGCTATGAAGTCTGTTTATCTTTGTGTTCAGGTGTATGAATACAAAATTAACAGTTTATTCTTTTATGCAAATATACAAAAATTGTTCTCCAATTTATGAAATTACATTTGGATGAAGGGCATGTCAGTTATATTATTTTACAAATTATGTCTTTAATTCTGATGTTTTGATCTGTTTGGTTCAAACTTTTACTGAATTCGTTATCTTCAAACTGAAAAAACGATTTGATTCATTTTTTTTTTTAAGTTTTTGTAAAATGCAATATGCTGTTAATTATTGGCTAATATTTAGTTGTGTATTGTTACATAACACAAACTGTGTTAATAAATGTTACGTAGCTTCAATAAATAAGTCATCAAATGAAGTATTTGTTCTGTGTTGGTTTGTGCAAAATATTCTACCATTTTGGGTGCAACTGTTGCAAAACTCATGTCAGTGGCAAGAGACATTTCACGTTAAATAAAAGTCATTGAGAAATAATATAAAACAAAGGTAAAAAATTAGATATAATGTAGATACTAATTTAAAATCAGATAAAGTATCAACATGTTTGTAAAAAGAAATTAAAGAAATGTCTACAAATCCACTCAGCATATAAACAAACCTCTCTTGAAGTCAAGGCCACACTAAATTACATTCAAACAGCACAATCACAACACAATAACTTCGGTAAAACATCAACATTTCAAAGAAATCATTTTAAGCACTTTGGTTGTTTCACTTTATTGACTAAACTGAACTAACAGCACATTATCATCATGGTAATCTGAACGCTCCAGTGTTTGACAGACCTCTGATGTATTTAAGACAAATGTTTTCCTCCAGAATCTGTAGGATCGGCTTCACACAGGGTCTGGTTTTTTTCAACCATTTTAACAGACACCAGATTCCGGCACAGGTACAGCATGAAAGGAGGGAAAGAAAGGGAGAGTGGGGAGAAATAAGTGGAGGCACATCTCTCTCTCTCTCCCTCTCCCTCTCTCTCTCTCTCTCTCTCCCCTGCAGCCTTGCCCTCTCTCCTCAGGATCTTGTATCGTGCAATCAGGCCCCGCCGGGGCCCAGACAAGCAGGAACCTTTAGATTGGAAACAGTTGTGAGGTATTAGGAAGGTGTGTGTACCAGGGTTAGGGTCAGGCACACGGGCATGTGTGTGTCAGCGCATGTACATGTGTAATGGTGTGTGTTTGTGTGTGTGTGTTTATAGTGAGCTTTAATTACCTGTGCAGTGTGCGTGCATCGCTGTGTGTTTATGTGAACACATCTGCAGATTAGTAAACAGGAATACACTTGCAGATGTTGTTTAGTGGATTGTATCTCTCCCCTCTCTGGGTTTTAGTTTTAAAAGACTTACAGTTTAAATTTTGGAAATAAGGCAGCCAGGAAGTCCTTCAAAATAAAACGACAAAATACAAGATAAGACAAGGTGCAACATCTGTGTTGCTGTGCTGGAAGAAATACATAC